GCTGCAAGCAGGGATGGGTGCAAGCAGGGACAGGTGCAAGCAGGGACGGGAGGGTAAGTAAGGGGATAAGCAGGTAACGGGTTAGCGCGCCTACCGAGGAACAGTGATGCTGACATCAGTGAGAGCAAAAGGCTTCTCCTTCTCCTTCTCCTTGCCCTTGTCCTTGCTGTCCTTGCTCTCAGCACCGCTCCCTTTCTCCCCCGCGCTGCCCTTGTCTGCAGGCCCTGCCTTGGCCTTGCCCCAGCGCCACCACCCTTTCTTCTCCCCGCGCTTTGCCGCATCCCCGCCTGCCTTGCCTGGCGCTGGTGTATAGCATGGCATGGCATGGGAAGGCACGTTATGGCATGGCAGGGATGACATGGAATGGGTTGGGATGGGAGTTGGGAGAAGGGGAGGAGAGTGGCTAGTGAGGGACATCATGAGGCATTGAGGCCTGGACTTGTAGCTATGTCTCACAGCCAGGACATGTATGGTGGTACATGCATGGTGGCAGGTGGCGGGACATGACATGCATGATGGCAGGTGGCAGGAAAATAAGGATACTCCGCAGGCACCCGCTAATTGACCTCTAGCACAACTTATTCACATCATTTCCCTTACACTCCATTCCATCCCACCCTACCGTATCACACTGCACTCCACTGCATCGCACCCAACTGCACCACACAAAACTGACCAGAGCGAGCGGATCCCGGGGGTCCTCCTCCGCCCATGCCCATGGGCGCACCAAAGCTTCCCCCCATGCCGGGCGCCACCTTCGACCCCCCTGGCTTGGACGGTGCTGCTGCTGGCGGCTTGGCTGTTGACCTGTGCATATGGTGCGGGGGTCAAGTGAGACACAATGAGAGCGGGGGAAGTGAGGTGCAGAGTCAAGGGGGCACAATGAGTGGGAGATCGGGTGGGATAGCGAAATAGAGAGGGAGGTTGGACAAACAGCATGAGCCGGCAGTGATGGAGAGAGCAGATGGGGCGTGCAGAGTGGAGATTGGGTATTTCAGTGGGCAGGTGTGAGGAAGGTTGCGGTGGATGGGTGCATGGGTATGTGCAGGTGTACACACATGCATGTACGTATATACCATTGGAAGTTGCCATGGTCAATGGAGACGGCAACGGGGTCATCGCCCTTGTCCTCGTTCTTCTGCACGTGCTGCATCTCTGGACTCGACAGGTACTTGCCCAGCCGTTGCAGCGACACCTGTGCCACAGGTCGCACACACGCAGTGCAGCGCATCAGTCATGTGAGCGTGATGCACGGATTTGAATGTGTCTGTTATGAAAGAATGTGATGTGATGTGCCTGCCTGCGAGGACGGGTTGTACTCACATGTCCTGCCAGAACGGAGTTGATCACAAAAGGATCTGATGCACACCCCCACACACACACAGAAATACACACAAAAAAACAGACCACGTCAGCGGCGTTAACTCAAGGCAAGCAAAGCCAAAAGCTCAAGGTCACAGCAAGGGAGTTAGCCGGTGCGAGCATCGCTGGCGGAGCGGCAGCACAAGCGCCATTCAAGAACGCCTTGTGCGGAGCATACAACACACAAACACAAACACACACACATTCACATTCACACACACGCACGCACACACACGCACGCACGCACGCACACACACACACACACACACACACACACACACACAGCTTAAGGACGCCTCTCATACAGGGCACACTCACAGATCATGAGGGGGATGCGCAGCGAGTTGAAGAGTGAGAGCGCCGTGAAGACAGTGGATGCCATCATGCTGCCGTGCGCCACCTCCGCGTAGAACGCAAAGGTCACCTGGGGAAGAGGGGGAGAGACGGAAGGGGCAGGGTGTGAGTGTGTATGGCCGCGGGTGTGGCGTGGACACGCAATGGGATGGGCTTGGGCTTGGTAGGCTTGGGCTTGGTAGGCTTGGGCTTGGTCGTTGGGATTGGGATTGGACTTGGACTTGGGATTGGGGTTGGGATTGGGATTGGGCTTGGGATTGGACTTGGGATTGGGATTGGACTTAGGATTGGGATTGGACTTGGGATTGGGATTGGGATTGGACTTGGAATTAATATTCGGCTTGGGATTGGGCTTGGGATTGGACTTAGGATTGGGATTGGACTTGGGATTGGGATTGGGATTGGACTTGGAATTAATATTCGGCTTGGGATTGGGCTTGGGTTTGGACTTAGGATTGGGATTGGACTTGGTCTTGGGATTGGGATTGGGATTGGCTTGGGCTTGGGATTGGACTTGAACAGGGAGCAAGGAGGTGGGGAAGAGCAGGGCAGGGCAGGGCATGGCATGACAGGGCACGTACCACCATGATGAGGGTGGGCGTGGCGAGCATGAAGCAGGTCTGCACGGCACGCAGCCACACGCGGCTGCGCATGGCCTTGAGCTCCACACTGCGAATGCCCGCTATTGCCGCTGTGAACGGCTGCTCCCACGCGTAGCACTTCACCACCCGGATGCCCTGCAGTAGCTCGTTGATCACCTGAGACGGGTGGGGGAAGGGGGGGGGAGGGAGGTGGGGGATGGGAGAAGTGGAGAGGGAGAAGCAGTGGCATCTGAGTTGTCTGAGCATCCTCTGAATCAAAACACACACGTAGCTCTTCACCACTCAGATGCCCTGCAGCAACTCGTGGATCACCTTAGGGAGGCCAGGGCGCGAGGGGGAGAAGGGAGGAAAGGCAAACTCTGTGCATAATGTGTTGAAGGAGAACACACACACGCGTAGCACTTCGCCACTCGGATGCCCTGCCGTAGCTCGTTGATCACCTGAATGAGGGAGAGGGGGAGAGGGGGAGGGGTCAGGAGCAGCAGTGACAGTTTGAATGTCTGAGCATGTGGTGAAGCAAAACACACGCGTAGCACTTCGCCACTCGGATGCCCTGCAGTAGCTCGTTGATCACCTGAAAGGAAACGGTGACAGAAGCAGTGGTGTTGCGAGTGAGCGGGTGGGTGGGTGGGCTAGTGGGTGGGTGGGTAGATTGATGAAACATAGCAAGAGAAGCAGCAGCAGTGGGTGTGGTGAGGGTGGACGCACCTTGACTCGCCTGCCGGTGTTGAGCAGAATCTTCCTCTGCATCGCCAGCAGCAGACTCACCAACTTGCCCTGCACACACGCAGTGCGAGAAAGGGAACGACGAGCGGGAGGCAGGGAATGGGGAGAAGGGGAAGAGGAGGGGAAATGGAAGGGGAGGGGGAAGGGGGGAGGTGTAAGGGAGATGAGATAAACGAGATAGTCGAGGAACAGCTGCGACGAGAAAACAAGTGTGCGGTGCGCGCTCCTACACACTTGTTGTGCAGACAGCATTCTCATGCAATTGTGTGTGCGTGTATCACTGTGCATGTGCATGTGCGTGTGAGTGTGTGTGCACGTGAGCGTACGTGTGTGCGGCGGGGGCGAGAGCGCACCTGAGTGGGGATGGTGATGATGAGCATGGCAAACCCAGCTACAGCACTCCAGCCGATGTAGTAAATGAGCAGACCCAGGTTGATGAATATCTGATGTTACGTTACACATTCATGCACACGCACAAGCAGGCACGGTGTGGGGCGATAGGAGCACGCACAGGGGGGGATACAGGGCACGGCAGTCAACAATAGCAAGCAAGTGTGCCGGTGAAGGTTGTGCAGGAGAGAGGGGGAGGGGACGCATAGCTCTTAAGACAGCTTGTGCAGAACAAAAGGGAAAACATATGACGGTGAAGAAGGGGAGAGGGGGGGGAGAGAGAAGGGGGGATGGCGGGGAGGGAGAAGTTGAAAGTGAGTGGTGTGTACGGGGGGATGGGATTGGCAGGTGGCGGTAAAGGTACCTGCAAGAGGCCGCTCCATGTGAAGTGCAGGAAGGGCGTGGTCATGGACACCTTCTCCGTGTCCACCTGCATGAGAGTTACAATTTCTCCCACTGACTTGCCCTGGCGAGCACCGTTGGACAGCTTCAGCGACTTGTCGTAGACTATCTCCACCAGCGCCGTTTTCACCTGCTCCCAACACACACATGCGCCATGCCACACCGCACCGCACCACACCACAACGCACCGCACCATAGACACCGCGCGCCAAGGAGCGGGACAGCAGCCACGTGATGGATGGAAGGGAAGGGAAGTACAATGCAGATTGGCATGAGCAGGTGTCACCGAGCGGCCGAATGGCACAACCGAGGGCGGACGCATTCAGTGAGCAAGCTCAGTGGGCAGACGTGGGTGGGGGCGTGAGGGGGCATGAGGGGGTACGAGAAGGGCATGCAGAGGTGAGTGAGAGCCATGCGCACGAGGCATGCAAGGGGTTGTGGGGGCCGGCAGCATGTAACAAGCGACCAATCGAGAAAAGAAGCATGTGTGCATGTGTGGGGACTCACATGCACGCCGAGTCGGAACATGATCTGATTGTACTGAGCGTCCAGTAACGACCGTATTGTTGGCACCACAAACAGCGCCGCTGCAGCATAGTACCCAAAGTTGTCACCTGGTGGCGGGAAAAGGAGGCGGGAAGGGAGAGTGTGGGGTTGGGAGTGGGGAGATGGGGAGATGGGGAGATGGGAGGTTAGGTGGGAGGGAGGGGGATTGAGCGGATGAGGAAGGGTGTGTGGCGGAAGGAGAGGAGGAATGGCGGGCCAGGGGAAACCAGCATGGCGATTGATGGTTGGGACGGAGCGGGGTGTTGTAAAATGGGAGCAGGAGGGGAGAGATGAAGGCGAGGGGAGCAGGAGAGGAGAGGAGAGGAGGGGCGTACCGAAGATTTTCTTCATAAAATGGTCAGTGGGAGTGCCTTGGATGAACAGCAACACCGCATTCACTGCACTCGCACACACACATGGGAGCGATACAGAGACAGAGACAACACGCAAGGGGAAAAGATAGGAGGGATTAGAGAGAGGAACACGGACAGCACACAGGGCATGGCATGGGCCACGGCTTTGAGCACACGCAAAAGAACCCGCATGAGTGCTAGGAGGTGCTAGGCTCGCAGGTGGGAAGGAGGAAAAACGTGGATGGAGGAAGCGAAGGGAGAGGAGGGGAGGGAAGAAGTGGAGGGGAGAAGAGGGTAGAAAGCGCGGAAGACACTGGGGTCGGGAGTCAGGGAGGGAGGGGCGGCGAACGTACGGAAGATGGGTGGCGTGGCCTGCAGCAGCACGTTGACGAACTGCACGAGTGCGCCGATGATGAGGCGGTAGCGGAAGCACCGGAACAACGCGCGCGTCAGCGACGGCCTGCAGAGGCGAGCGCCGGCGCGCATGGCGCGGGCGGGGAGAGCGGGACGCGGGGGGAATAGGGGACAGGGGAGACACGTGGACACGGGTTAGACGGGAGACAGGGGACACGCGAGGAGACGAGGCAGGAGTGGCGCTGTAAGGTTGAGAGGAAGGGTGGTAGAGAGGAAAAATCGGGGCAAGGCGAGACAGCCTGAGCACTGCAGTAAGAACGAAGCAGCAAGCGGACAGCGGTATGCGCGTAACAAAATTAACGCGCGCGGGGAGCGGGGGAGGGAGGGAGAGGGGAGAGGGGAAGGGAGGGGGGGCGCGGGGCGGGGGGTGGGGTGGTGGTTGGGGGTTGGAGGGGAAGAGGGCACGCACTTGTCCTTGTGTAGTTCCTGCTCCCACACGTGCGCGAACTTGACGGAGACGGCTTTGGCGTCGTCGCACGGCGGCAGCGGCGGAAGGTCCGCCTGCTCCAGCGGCTTGCGGTACCCCTCGTTCATCAGCGGATTCAGCCACCTGCGCGCCGTTGCACGCACGCGCCGCCGCGCACATGGGGGAACGCGTGCGGGGGGGAAAGGAATTGCGACGTCGATTGCGCGAAAGGGGGTGTGGGAAAGAGGGGGGAAGCGAGAACTTTGTGTTTGATTGAGTAAGTGAGTGAGTGGGAACGCGTCAGTTGTTGTGCGGAAAGGCAAGTGGGCGGCGGGAGGGAAGAGGCGCTAGGTTAGGAGGAAGCGTGGACGGACCAGAAGATGAGCTTGGAGATGGGGTTGGCCGTCGCCTCCGGTGATACCTCCACGTGCTCCTCTTCCTCCTCCTCCTCCTCGCCCTGCTCACACCATAACAAATCATCAGAAAATCACCGGAAAAACACCGGCAGAAAACGTCCGCACATCACGTCAAGGTGAGGCAGCGGCAAGGCTCTGCCACGCAACGGCTGCGGACCCGCCGCAGACGGATCACGCTGAGCTGCGCTCGTCACCTTCGAGTCAACTCAAAAGGCATCCGGCTCATTTCATCCGTACTGTCTCGCTTATCTCTCCCGCCTCTCCAAAAGAACACTGTCTGACGATCTCCTGCTGTCCCTACTGCCCTCTCGCCTGCTGTGTGCACATGGGCGCGTCGCGCGCAGGTCGCGAAGGGACGAATGTTGAGTCGACTCTAACGGAATCGAGCCAGTTAAGGCGCCCAGTGAGTTGCATCCCATCGAATGCGGTGCTTTGAAGCATACTTCTTTGCGTGCTTCTGTTTTACGTGTTTCTGCTTCGCACGAGCGGGGAGCATGCTCTGGATTTACACGGTACACCGACGGGTTATCCGTTACTAGGGCTAAGCACTGTCAAGACTAGCTCTCCGTCTTAACGGAAGACCCACGGATAGATCTAACGGTAATGCTCGCGACCTAGACGTTCTGCGATAAGAGCGTTGCGAGGATGGAAATCGACGCGGGAAAGTATAATACAAAGGAGATTAGCTGAAGGAATGGCGAACTGGGGAAGGAGGTAGCGGCTGCTAACAAGGTCGACGGACAAAAATAAGAGTGAATCCACATGCCTCTTGTTGGCGTTGCGCTTTATCTGAAGTTGACGGTCCATTACTGCTGCTAGGGCCCTCGTCTGCTCCACCACCTTCCGTTGCCTTATCCGTGGCTCCGCCTTGTGTCCGCTTCTCGTCAGGAACTCCCGTCTCCCCGCCATTCGCACCGCCTATCATCGCCTCCTGCTCAGCTCGAGTGGCGGAGTCTGCTCCATTTTGCAAATCATGACCCGTGTCTCGGATACCCTCTCCCATGGCGCCCACCTGCTGTTCGCCGCCTGCACTCGTCAAAACTGCTGTGTCAAGGGCAATGCACACAGCTGAAGAGACGAGAGCACACACCGGGAGAATGGAAGGAACTGGGCTGGGATCAAGATAAGCACAAGGTGGGACGTTATGCGTGGAGAAGGATGGGTGGAGCTGGTGCGCTTTTGCAGGGGGCAGGCTACTACAAGATCGTGTGGTGGTGGTGGTGAGGTGTGTCGCCGCAGTTTTTCTGCGGTTACCACTTTTGTTCGTGATGATTCGTCCACCATTGATCTACAGCTGGTGCTGCAGGTAGTGATGACGATGATGTTTGCTGGCTTGGGGCCGCCACCTCACTTGCTCAACCGACGCTTCGCGAAGCTAGCCGAAATGATGGCGACAAATCGCAGTCGCCGAGCCACGTGCCGCACCAGGCCTGGAGGTGCGGGTACAGCACCAGGCCTGGAGGCCTGGGAAATGGTTGGGGCTGCAGCGTGCCTTCGAAAGGTATGGCTCGGATCATTCGGCTCGGATCCTTTGGTCCAGTGATGGCTCGCGGTGACGCTGATCGCATCGCGTCGCGCTGCTGGCACGACAAGGGAAAGCCCCAACGCTGATGGAAAGGGCAGGCTTGTTGCGAAAGTGAATGCACTTCGTCGATGCTCCCATCTAGCCTGTCGACGTGGTTCCCCAGGGAAAGACGACAAGCAGCGAATGACGTGGCAACAAGATACGGCTGTCTGCCCCATCATTCTGCCACGAGTCACTCAGGCTGCTTCGCCCAACCACCCACCTTTCAGTGAATTTCGTGGGACCTCACACCCACAAACACCCTTACGTCATAATGTTCTAGAAAAGGCTCAGATTCGATTAGAGTTCAAACAGAGAAATACAATGAAGACTACATTCAATCATATCCACTTCACATAATACAGCACCCCTAACCTAAATCAGAAATACTTTCTGGCTATCTTACACCATGAACGACCTGGCCAACCACACTCTGCACAAATACAGGCACTACGCCCTGGCCAAGGCAGTTAGCTCATTGTTGCGTATGCACGGAGGATTGAGACGAGGATGCAATAATTCTTCCGTGGTGTGGAGAAAGGAACGGAATTCCATTCACAACCTGTGCCATGTGAGAGACGTGCAGGGGAAAATCACATGCATATTAAGTACTGCTAATGGCACAAGGAATAAGAGCACGGGGAAGATGGAGAAGAGGACAACAAAGAGTGGCTAACTTACAGGATATGCTACACCAATCGAGTCGCTAATGTATTCAGATGTTGTGCTGTCGAACCTGAGACCCCGCGGGACAGAGCACATCGTCGTAACGCAGCACATAATCATCCATAAGCAAGGGACGTGATGTTTATAGTTGCGACGGAACTAATAAACCTTAGAACGCTATGGATACGAGGATGCTTTGTACGAAAATAGCGTGAATGAAACAGCGCCCAGGAGAATTCAAGGCGCTGTATTAAACGGCTTGCCTCAGCGGTTCATTCGAAAGAGGGCAAACGAGCAATGCCTCGAACTCCTTCCACTCATTTGGACGGCTCCTATCCGTGTGTGCAGCAGCAAACGAGTCGCTGTTGCCATCGTCTACGCTGTTCGTCCCAAGCCCACGAGCTACCGGTAAGACTGGGGACACTCGGAATCCCACCAAGGGCCACGCCGCCACTCCCCGCAAACAGCGCATGACAGGGACCATGCTGGTGATCGGGTTACGGACTAGCACAATCGGGCCAGAAAGAACGCTCGGCGACTCGATGGAGGTGTGGAATGGAGTCATGCGGACGTGGTAAGGAAGTCCCCCTGCAAGTCTGGTAGGAACTACTGCTACATGGTTTTACGGTTGGAAATGAAACACGGTTCAACATGCTCCACAGAGCACTTCTCGATTTGGTTGTTGCTTACACCTTAGAAAATAAGTGTACCGTTCTCTGAGGGCCACGGCTCTTTTTAAACATACTAGACTAGACATACACCTTCATGCCAACTTTGAACACATCTAATCACATGCACTTCAACATTGCAGTACGACTGAGGAGGAAACACAAGTTCCACCTCCACATGGACAATGGCGGGGTTCTTCTCAGCGTAGCTACCACCTTCCCCTTCCCCTCTTATAGGGCCGTCCACGGCCACCCCCTCCACCGCCTCTTCCTCGGCCTCTCCCTCTCCACCCACCACCGCCACCACCACCGTGTCCTCCTGCTTCCCCATTGCTGTCCCATTCCTTAGCAGCACTGAGCGTGAATTCCTGCGGCAGGCCCATGAGGGCTTCGACGCACTTGCGGTAGCTGAAGTCGTCCACGGTGCCGTCCGTGCGCACGAGGAAGAAGCAGCGCGAGTGGAACTCGGGGTGCGGGCGGATCTGGAAGGACCGGATGCCTGGTCCGACCTTGGACGTGGGGTCGCTGTGGCCCTTCTTTAGCAGGTCTAGCAGCACCATGTGCTCGTACTGAGGAGGAATGGGGGGAGGGGGGGAAAGGGTTAGGAGGGAGGGGAGAAGGAGAGAGAGCGGGGGGAGGGGGGGAAAGGGGGGGGGGGGAAGGATAGGGGGGGTTGGGGAGTGGTGCAAGAGGGAAGGGGGAGGGGGGGGGGGGGGAGGGGGGTGGGGGAAGAGAGTGGGGTGAGCAGGGATTATTACGACTCATGAGGCACATTCAAGTTTGCGCTAGGCGGAAAGCGACCAGGCCCCACGAAGTGGTGTATTGGAATAAATCAACCAGACCCTAACAGCAAAACCCTGAGAAAGCCCTAGGCCTGGAGGTGAACTAGGGTTTACGGCGTCTGAAGGGCCTGTTTGCGTAAGCGCATTAAGATAGACCATACACGACGTGGTTTGCGTCCTAGAAGACTGGCGCACCTGGTTGATATCCAGGTTGACAGGCCAGCCGCGAAGAAGGTCGAGAAAGAAGTTGAACATCTGAAGCCCGGTTGCGAATGTCTGCGGTCCCAGCACCACAGGCCCGCTCTTCTTCTTCGCTTGCGCATCGCCGCCGTCCCCTTTAGCTCCTTCTTCGCTCGGTTTCACCTCTACGGTTTCCTTGGTATCACCCTCTTCCTCCCCCGCTTCCCCTTCCGCTTTGCGCTTTTTACTCCCGCCATCCTCCCCAGCCGGCGCGGCATCCTCGCCAGCCGGTGCGGCATCGCCGCCAGTGGCCTCGGGCTCCTTGGGTGTCTCCGCCTCGACAGCCGCTGCGCTGGTGGTTTCGACCGCTGGCGCAGCTGCTTCGACTTCCTTGTTCTCTCCTTCTCCGGTCATGGCGCTATTTCAGTATGTCTAGGTAATTTCTGTTGGCTTCTGAAAATGGGTGGGAGCGAGGAGCTGAGCGATGTGGCGTATGGTAAAGAGCTTATGCACAAGACTGGGCTTTGGAGGCAGCTGGAGGTTTGGCTGCTTCGCTAAATGGGTCAGTAATATAACAACAAGGGTTCGGCAATCGGTGTAATTAAACTCATTTCAATCGTATGGTACGTTGAACAGTCTGTAAACTAAAAATATTACAGTTCAATTAAAGTCGGAATTTATGCTTGCCCCACATATTCGTGCAGTACGTGGAACAGTCTGTAGAATGTGGAGTGCATGTACAACCAAAAAAGAGCAGGCGCTGAACACAAATTCAGGGCATTCAAGATAAATACCTCGGGGTACAGCTGCTACCGTATATACATCCTAGAGTGGATTCCCTAACCTGCTGAAAGGCCCATTCCTCACCAGCAGCTTTCTTTTCCTCTTCCTGTGAGCAGACGAAGCCAGATTAACCAAAACCACTCTGCTCCCGGCTGCATATCAGACCCAAGGCCCATCCTCCGCTTTACATACACCACTCAAGTGATACTGCCTGCTGCTGCTACATCTACCGCACTTGCACCCGCGCCCTGCTGGTCCCTCTCAGGGTTATCAGGTTGCGGAGTGAGTTGCACGCGGCAAACGGGGCAGGTGGCGTGTGAGGTGAACCAGGCATCAAGGCACGGCTGGTGGAAGTGATGCCCGCACGGCAGCTGCTGCTGCACGTCATGCACCTCGTAGTCCGTCAGGCAGATGGGACACCTGCGAGATCATTGAATGATTTGACACACGGGATGTTGGGAATGATTGCGGATGAGCGACAATGAGTGTGCTGAAAGATGGGAGAGGGAGAGTTGACGGGTAAGAGAAAAGTGAAGGCTCCAGGCAACTGACGCCGAAGGAAGGAGGGGCCCTGACGCGTCGGCTACCCCACAGTGCGATACTCACTGGTCCTCTAATTCGGCAAGATCGCGAGGTGCAATCACAACGACCGACAATTGGTCCCTCAAGTCATCCGGCAAGCCCTGCCACCCACAGCACCAAGTACGAATCATGTCAAGAAAATGACTGCGCAGATTCTGCAAATTTAACTTCTGCAGATCTCATCATACGCCACTTTCCTCCGACTACTAATAGCATCGGTCGAGCCAGCTACCTTGACAGTTTCCGGCTGGCGTGGCTGAGACGCGTCGCTTCTTGAGCCTCCCTGCGTCTGTCGCTTCCACGGATACAGGCACACGCCCACCGTGAGCAGGACGCACGCTATTACGATGATCAGCTCGCCGCCCGACAGCTGTACGCCGGACATAACGGAGCTCTGTCCCGTTCACTGCCGTTCCGTGCCGTTCTGTTCCGTTCTGTGCCGTTCTCTGTCGTTCTGTGCCGTTCTGTGTCGTTGTGTGCCGTATGTTACCCTCCTGAGGTACGTTTTACAAGTAGCTAGCTGCGGAAGGGGAGCTGTAATGTGTAAGGCGTAATGTTTAAGGCGTTGACATTCGACACAAAAAAAGGAAATGGTGTCCGCGTGACACCACCCGCGACAATTCATTCTCCTCAGTTTTGGTCGGTGTGCGTGTGGGTCTAATACACTCTCTGTCGATCTGCGTTTTGTGTGTGCGTGTAGCCCTGTCGCACTCTCTGCTCATGTGTGGCTGGAAGCAGATTACAGTAGAAGGTGTGGCCCCGATGATAAAAGGCCCCTCGGAGGGGCCAGACATACACACGATGTCCGTTTGACTAACCCAAGGTTGCCTTGTGAAGGGGGCGCTTAAGTGATTCATGCATTTCGTGGAGGTTTCGTCAATTCGCGTCGGGCAAAAAGGGCTTATAGCAAAATTTTGTAACTCACCGTTGACTGTTTGACTTCGGTCTCTTCTGTTTCTGTGGTTCGTATTGGTTGACGTGCTTGTAACGTGGGTGCAACTGCCCGGGAAAAAACCTTCGTGTGCAAGGTTTCTGGAACGTGCGAGGCAATTTCGCGTGCAGGGGTTGGGCATCTTGTGTACGAGCTTCCAACGCCTGATTTCTGAGCCAGATTCATCATCGCCTTCCGTGAAGGTGCCAGATATGGCCTGCAGGCAAAGCAAACTATGTCTGAGACACCCACAGAACCTGCGACTTGTTCCATTCCATGGCTTAGGCACTACGGTACAATTGATGCTCACCCCATGCACGCGAATTTGCCTTGCGCCGGATGGATACGCTGCACCCGAGGTTGTTTCCCCAGCCTTATGCACCTACATTACAAGCGCGTCAAGCAGAAGAGACCGAAGTCAAGCAGAAGAGACTGAAGTCAAACTAGGTAACTAGGTAGCAGAGTCTTGTTTATAAGCACATGCGAATTCTTTTTAGCTAGCTGCGAATTGACGAAACTTATGCGAAATGCTCGTGACAGCTTATACGCCCCCTTCATAAGGCAACCGGGAGGGGCTCAAACAGGCATCAATTGTACAGAAGATGGGGCTAAACTGGTGGAAACGACGGTGGAATGAGAGAGGGATTGGGGGAGGTGGGTTCAAATTCATTGCCCTGTCACATTCCCGGAACAGCAAGGCAAGTCCATTTGACCGGCCACGTAAACTCCCGTGGAATTGGAATGTCTGAACGAGAATATGCTTCAGAATATTTTTATACAGGATACAGTGGAATGAACCAATTCGATATTGATGAGATGGCATGATTTAACTTGCCATTATAAACGCCACGAAGGAAAAGAATTGCTCTGATATAAAGTTCACAACGTAAGGGTATAGTGGACAAAATTGTACCACTACGGCTGCCAGGTTCAGGTCATCACGAGCAGTGCAGCGGAAGGGCATGGCCGGTGAAACAGCCATGCATGTCACATGCCACACACCCCACTCCTCCACCCCTTCACTCCTCTTCCCTCCCACACTGTCCTCCCTTGCCTTCCATCGTCCTCCTCTTCCCTCCATCTGCTGCCAGCCTGCACATGGCAAAATGCCATGCACCACCATGGCATGCCACACCAAGACATGCCACACCATGCCCTGTCATACCATGTGCCAAACCACTCCATGGGGCACCAAGACATGCCGCACCATGCAATCCACCTCAGGCCCTGCCACGCCATGCCACGCGAAAAAATGACATGCCGCTCCATGACTTTCAAAAAATCAGATGGCACACCATGCGATGTCACACTACCAGATACAACATGCCATGCCACTCCACCACATACAACATGCCATGCCACTCCTTGATACATCCTCAAACAACGAGATACCACATTGTATCAGACCACACTGAACCATACCACAGCATATTATACCAGGAAAAATCATACCACACTATATCATACACTGTGTCATCCACTCTATATCATAGTGCAGTGTATCATACCACACTGCATCATACCACACTGCATCATACCACACTGCACCATACCACACTGCATCATACCACACTGCATCATACCACACTGTACCATACCACACTGCATCATACTACACTGCATCATACCACAATGTATCATAGATCAATGTATCCTGTGGCACTCTATCATGCCACGATGTTTCGCATCATGCAGTACGATGTTTAGATTACCTTTCTGACCACTCAATCTCACGACACTCTCACCACTCCAACTTCACCACTCAAACCACTCACCCTCACCACCCTCTTTGCTGTCACTCTCACCTCCCATTCTCACAAATATCCCCCACCACTCACTCACTCTCACCGCTGTCAACTCTAACTCTCACCACTCATGCTCTCATGCAACAGGTGGCATCAGTGCCATACGGCTCATCATGTGCCACCCAAGGGGACTCAGCCCCTTTCACTTGCTCTCACCCACCCAAGGGGACTCAGCCCCTTTCACTTGCTCTCACCCACCCAAGGGGACTCAGCCCCTTTCACTTGCTCTCACCCACCCAAGGGGACTCAGCCCCTTTCACTTGCACTCACCCACCCAAGGGGACTCAGCCCCTTTCACTTGCTCTCACCCACCCAAGGGGACTCAGCCCCTTTCACTTGCTCTCACCCACCCAAGGGGACTCAGCCCCTTTCACTTGCTCTCACCCACCCAAGGGGACTCAGCCCATTTCAGTTGCTCTCACCCACCCAAGGGGACTCAGCCCCTTTCACTTGCTCTCACCCACCCAAGGGGACTCAGCCCCTTTCACTTGCACTCACCCACCCGAGAGGACTCAGCCCCTTTCACTTGATCTCACCCACCCAAGGGGACTCAGCCCCTTTCACTTGCACTCACCCACCCAAGGGGACTCAGCCCCTTTCACTTGCTCTCACCCACCCAAGGGGACTCAGCCCCTTTCACTTGCTCTCACCCACCCAAGGGGACTCAGCCCCTTTCACTTGCTCTCACCCACCCAAGGGGACTCAGCCCCTTTCACTTGCACTCACCCACCCAAGGGGACTCAGCCCCTTTCACTTGCTCTCACCCACCCAAGGGGACTCAGCCCCTTTCACTTGCTCTCACCCACCCAAGGGGACTCAGCCCCTTTCACTTGCTCTCACCCACCCAAGGGGACTCAGCCCATTTCAGTTGCTCTCACCCACCCAAGGGGACTCAGCCCCTTTCACTTGCTCTCACCCACCCAAGGGGACTCAGCCCCTTTCACTTGCACTCACCCACCCGAGAGGACTCAGCCCCTTTCACTTGATCTCACCCACCCAAGGGGACTCAGCCCCTTTCACTTGCACTCACCCACCCAAGGGGACTCAGCCCCTTTCACTTGCTCTCACCCACCCAAGGGGACTCAGCCCCTTTCACTTGCTCTCACCCACCCAAGGGGACTCAGCCCCTTTCACTTGCTCTCACCCACCCAAGGGGACTCAGCCCCTTTCACTTGCTCTCACCCACCCAAGGGGACTCAGCCCCTTTCACTTGCTCTCACCCACCCAAGGGGACTCAGCCCCTTTCAATTGCAATCACCCACCCGAGAGGACTCAGCCCCTTTCACTTGCTCTCACCCACCCAAGGGGACTCAGCCCCTTTCACTTGCTCTCACCCACCCAAGGGGACTCAGCCCCTTTCACTTGCACTCACCCACCCAAGGGGACTCAGCCCCTTTCACTTGCTCTCACCCACCCAAGGGGACTCAGCCCCTTTCACTTGCTCTCACCCACCCAAGGGGACTCAGCCCCTTTCACTTGCTCTCACCCACCCAAGGGGACTCAGCCCCTTTCACTTGCTCTCACCCACCCAAGGGGACTCAGCCCCTTTCACTTGCTCTCACCCACCCAAGGGGACTCAGCCCCTTTCACTTGCTCTCACCCACCCAAGGGGACTCAGCCCCTTTCACTTGCTCTCACCCACCCAAGGGGACTCAGCCCCTTTCACTTGCCCATTCGCATCACGCTTCCGTGCACGGGTGGCATCAGTGCAACTCATCATGTGCCCCCAACCAGCCAAGCATGAGCATCATGCTTCCATGCTTAAGGGTGGCATCAGTGCAACTCATCATGTGCCCCCAACCAGCCAAGCATGAGCATCATGCTTCCATGCACGGGTGGCATCAGTGCAACACATCATGTGCCCCCAACCAGCCAAGCATGAGCATCATGCTTCCATGCTTAAGGGTGGCATCAGTGCAACTCATCATGTGCCCCCAACCAGCCAAGCATGAGCATCATGCTTCCATGCTTAAGGGTGGCATCAGTGCAACTCATCATGTGCCCCCAACCAGCCAAGCATGAGCATCATGCTTCCATGCTTAAGGGTGGCATCAGTGCCATATGGCTCATCATATGCCACCGCCAACCCCACTGCCTCTCACCACCATCACCCCATCACCACCATCACCACCCAGCCCACCCATCCCCTCCCCACCTTACCTGCCAGCTGTAGGAGCAGCAGACAGCCCACTCCCCTTCGGAAACAGCACCCCAGGGGAAGTGCCTTGAAGGGCACGGTGTGGTCAGTGGAAAATTGCTTCCAGCGCAAGACTCAAATCCCGCCCCTGACGTAGCTAGAGCTGACGCGAACCAGAGTCGCCGGCCGGTCGACTCTGACGGTGCCCATTAAGCCTTAACGTCAGGTTAGTTACTTGAGCACCGAGAGCCGTGCCGCGCAAATTCTACCCACCACACCCCGACCCGCAAGGCACATCCCTAGAGGATGCTGCCCCTGAGAGAGTGACCTGCCCACTTGCTCCCATGCTTCCCACCGCCTCCCCACTCTCCCCTTCACCCCATGCCTCTTACCTCTACCTACCACAGCCATGCAGAGCGCCATGTTGCCTCAGGGTGTTGGGAAGTGGGGAGGGAGGAGGAGGGGTGGGGGGGGGGGTGGATGGGTTAGTGCGATGGCTCTGTCCCGCCCTTGCTCCCTCTCTCCCTCAGGCTGCATCGACCGTGCTGGAAAGTGGGGAGGGGGGCAGCGGGAGGGAGAAGGGGAGGCGTAGGTGAGGATGAAAAGAGAGATGCCTCTGTCCCGCCCTTGGTCCAGTGCTCCCTCCAGGCTGCAAAGAGGGGTGGTGAGGAAGAAAGGGAGGAGGGGATCAGATCTCCATACCAAACCTGCTACCATACCTTACCTGATACCATACCACACCTCGCTCACGACTCGACCTAACCTAGCCCGCCTCTAACCCCCCACCCCCCACTGCTGCTGCTGCTGCTGCTGCTTCTGCTGCTACCACTGCTGCTGCCGGTCTGCTACTCAGCTTCTCTGCTACAGTCTTCTCTCGATGCCCAGTGGCCTGCAGGGGTGGGGGCAGAAGAATAGGGGGAAAGTAAAAGAAAGTGAATAGGCTGGACTAGAGAAACCAATGAACTGAAGTTGACGAGAAAGAGAAGGCGGAACTACAGAGCAGAAATGGAAAGGGTTGAGGGCAAAAAGGGAGGCGGCGTACCTTGAGAGGCCAAGCCCACCCCGATACTCTCCCTTGTGGCAGCGACTGGCACAGCTGCCCCCCTCCCATCCCCACAGACAGGCACCTGCACGGCCACAGGCGAGGGGGGTGGAGGCAGACGAAAGGGGGGAAGTAAAACCAAGTGAGTTGGCTGGACCAGAGAAGGAAAAACAAAACTGAAGTTGATAAAGTAGAGAAGGCAAAACTGAAGAGCAGAAAGAGAGACAGACGAGGGCAAGAGGGCAGGTGACGTACCTTGAGAGGCCAAGCCCACCCCGATACTCTCCCTTGTGGCAGCGACTGGCAGTGCTGCCTCCCTCCCATCCCCACGGGTACCTGCACGGCCACAGGGGAGGGGCGTGGGGAAGCGTCGGTGTTGACCCCCGCCCCTCCCCTCCACCTGCAAGGCACACACGCAGAGCTGGTCAGTGGGCAGCGAGGGGATAAAGGGTGAGAGTGCAAGAGAGGGAACGGCATTTGCAAGGCGGGAGAGGGGAGGGGCCACTGGTGGAGGCCAAGTCACAAACTGCAGACCCAAGGGCTGCACCTGAGGGGGTACCTGCACACCTGCACCTGAGGGGTACCTGCACCTGAGAGGGTTACCTGAAGTAAGGGGGTCTGCAGCATGTGAGGCAGTCCCAACCAGTGGCACTGATTCAAGAGGAAGGCGGGAAAGCGCATGCAAACGAGATGCAAGCAAAGTACACAAGACATGGCGAAGGAGGCATGGGGTTGAGGGAACTTAGCTGTAAGGCGTGAGAGCGAGCACAGGGCAGCTGCAGCAGCACCAGGTGACTCTTTCCCCGGCAGCCCTCCTCCCAGCCTTCCCGTGTGCGTCCCTCCCTGCACGGCCACCGGGGAGAGGCGTGAGGGAATGGCGGTGCTGACCCCACACCCCTCCCCCCCACCTGCAAGGCACACACGCAGAGCTGGTGAGTAGACAGTGAAGGGATGACAGGTGAAACAGCAAGAGGAGCAGAAAAACTGCAAGGAAAATGAGAAAGGAGGGGCCACTGGTTGAGACACAACTGCAAGGCACAGACCCCCAAGGGGACCTGAGGGGCTGTAAGGCTGTAGGGGGGCTGAACCTGAACCTGAACCTGAACCTGAACCTGAATTGAGGTCTGTGGCTTGCGAGTCGAGCCCCAACCAGCGGCGAGTTTTGGAAACAAAAAAATTGGAAGAATAAACGAGAAGCAGAACAGTAGGCAAGGACCAAGGAGGCGAAGCACTTAGCTGGGAGTTGGAGCAGTGGTGGTGGTGGCGTGGGGGGTGCGGTGAAGGAGAGTGGGCAGGGGCGAGCGGAGGAGGTGCGAGCCAGCGAGGAGGGTTGAAGGGAAGGACCTGCGAGGCAGGGCAGGGGGGAGGGAGAGAGAGCAATTAAGTGGCATGCGGGAGGGAGTGGCTGTTGCGAGTGAGAAGAGAGTCTGACAGCAGAGCGAGTGCAGAAACGACAGTGCATGTGATGCCGCCCACAGCCCCACAAGAGCCCCTACCAACCTGCACCTGCACCTGAACCTGCACCTGAACCTGCACCTGAACCTGCACCTGAACCTGCACCTGAACCTGCACCTGCACCTGCACCTGAACCTGAACCTGAACCTGAGGGGAATTGGGGCTCTAGAGGGGTGTGGTGGCGGGGCGCCCATACTTGCAACCTCGACCGTTGATGAGGCCGGCGCTGCTGCCCCGCTGCCCGCGCTCCTGCTGCCCGCCTTGGCGCCCCTCTTGCCTCCCCCTCTCCTCCCCTCGCCTGCTGCACTCCCCTCGCCTGCTGCTCGCCTGGCGGGGCAGGCAAGGGAGGGAGTAGAAGGAGCGGGGGGGCGAGGAGAAATGAGTTCAAGTCCCGGAACAGGAGGTGCGTGGGAGAAATGAGTTCAAGTCCCGGAACAGGAGGTGCGTGGGAGAAATGAGTTCAAGTCCCGGAACAGGAGGTGCGTGGGAGAAATGAGTTCAAGTCCAGGAACAGGAGGTGGGTGGGAGAGTGAGAGTTGCAATTGGTAATGCCGGTGATGCGTGCGTGAAGTGGGTATGATGTGAGCATGAGCACGAAACATGAGCATGAGTGCACAGCCAGGCAGGACAATATCGCTGCAGACCTCAAGACGCACGCGGACAGCTAAGCAGGACGGACGGATGGACGGACGGACGCAGGCAGGCAGACGGACAGCTAAGCATGACGCCTAAGCAAGACCAAAACTCCCTCTCCAACGCTCCCTCCCCAAAACTCCCTCTCCAACGCTCCCTCCCCAAAACTCCCTCTCCAACGCTCCCTCCCCAAAACTCCCTCTCCAACGCTCCCTCCCCAAAACTCCCTCTCCAACGCTCCCTCCCCAAAACTCCCTCTCCAACGCTCCCTCCCCAAAACTCCCTCTCCAAAACTCCCTCTCCAAAACTCCCTCTCCAACGCTCCCTCCCCAAAACTCCCTCTCCAAAACTCCCTCTCCAAAACTCCCTCTCCAACGCTCCCTCCCCAAAACTCCCTCTCCAAAACTCCCTCTCCGAGCTAGGGGAAGAGACAGGGAGGGCTGCAGGTTCGCCTTGGGCTGGCATTGAGTGGCGTGGCGTGTGCAATGAATGAGCAATGGAGAGAGCAAGGAGGCGAGGCGAGGGGACTTATCTGCGCGCAGTGCAGTGCAGAGCAGAGCACGGTTGGAGGCAAGGCAGTGCGATGGCAAGTGGAGTGGCGGAGAGGGTCCTCGCCCACCGCTGTTGCCTCGCTGTCACTTCACGCCAATACCTCGTCGCTGCCTCGCTGCCATGCTCACGTATCCTTCACTGCTGCCTTGCCTTCCATCACGCCTGCTGCTTCCTGCAAAATAATAACAATACACTCTTTTTCAGAAGCCGTTTTCAGGGAGTAATGAAAGCGTTGTGCATGGCGGATGTGGGACGAAAGTGGTGAACGGAAATGAGGGCTGACGGCTTACCGCGGAGTGGTGATGGAGGGCCAAGGCGATGGGGGTGCGGCGAAGGGGTTGGCGGATGGATGACGCGAGGCGCGCGGAGAGCAGAAGCGGTGGAGCGGCGAGGAAGGCTGGCGACTGCGAGAGCCAACTTCAAAAGACGGTCCGCGATTCTCGAAAATCGCTTAAATGCCTGAAATCACATGGAACGGGAAACAGAGAAGAAAATGAGTGATGATTACAAGTGATCACGAACCGAAGATAAGTGAAAAGTATTTCTGCGACGGTCTAACGTAAATCGACATCAGTAAGCAGAAAACTAGAGTGAGAGAGACGAATGGACGTACGATGAGGCTAAAGTCGCGATGCGGTCTTGGAGGCGACGAATGGCAACGCGTCGTCTCGTCAGCACGTGCGCGATCGATCGAATTGACGCGTGGAATTTCAGCAGCAGGTGACGACGAACGAAAGTCGCGATCTTGGAGGCGGAAAACCGAACAACACGTCCGCGATCGATCAACTAAAACGGCTTCGGCGTGCCTAATCTGACGACGAGTCGGAAGTGCCGTCAAGATGGATTGAACCGCAGCTGAAACGGCATAAAAAACGGCAAGCATCGTTTGAAAATGCAGCAGCAGCAGGTGACGAGGAATTGGAAATGCGCAGAGCAGTAGAGTCGTAGCCTAGCCGATCAGAATGAGAAGCGTAAACTAGCCGGTCTGAACGAGAAGGGGTGTAAGGGAGTTGCGGAATGTGGAGGGAGAGGTGGAGGCATCAGTTTAAGAGGGAGCGTGGCAAGGCGCAAGCGGGAGTTGAGTTCGCATGCCCAACTTGGGTTGGGCCCCTCCGGGGGTGCGTAGCGTAGAAAGCCGTTGCGAGGAATAATTTCGAGCGCGAAAATGTGAAAAACCGAATGGGATCGTCCGAATCAGCAGCGCCTATGCCACATGGCCGGTCGAAATCAACCCAGGGGGCCGAAGTGAGTGACGTGGGTTGCCTATCGACCCCAAACGCTGCCAACTAAGCTCAGATTTTCCTATGGGGGTCACTAAGCTGCCGTGAAGGTTGAAAGAGCGAGAAAGGAGGTGGCTCCGAAGGGGTAATTTTCGCGGCGGGCCGAAGCGCAGCGGATATTAGAGGCGAAAGTCGGTTGATGAATGGTGCGTTCGTTGGTGGCAGATCTGGCGGGAGGGAGCTGTGGCTGTCAGAGCAAAAGAAAGCTGCTTGTAGGGGATGGAATGGTTGGAGCTGGAATGTGAGCTTGCAGCGGATGCACTGCCTCGAGGTACACCACAGGAATTTTCTTGTTTCCCCATTACAAACTATATGATCATGTTAGTGGTTTACTATTATTCATGATCTGTACTTTCGCTACAATGTTCGCCACTGCCTCTGAGTTGCACTTGGTTGAGGGCTCAACTATGAGCCGTTCGATGGGTTTGATCAAGAGGTGTTTGATACATGATTTGATTTCCCGCCATCGTTGGCATGCCTGTCAGGTGCCTGGCGGTTCCCGCGCAAACACACCAGAACCAGCTTGGCCGAAACTCGGCGGATTCAGTAACTTTGCTCACAAAATGCAATCTCGCGTTCGCCAAACAGCGAACTTCCGCTGGCGAATAATTGTCTCATCGCCAACATCAAGGTTTGGCAAACAGGAGGTGGCGGAAGGCAATTGCCTGCTCCGCTCCCCTGGCTTGACACTTCCACACCCTTTGTCCTGACCTTGGGATTGCCCAAGTCGCTCCCAACCATACCATCCTGAATCCAGTTCTTCCCTGAACATCAGAAATTCATCAGGCACCTTTCCATGGCGCCCTCGTGTTCCTTGAGTGTCGTCGAATGCCATCCTACAGGCGATATCACCTATGGCTCTTGAATTGCGTGCCTCTCAACAGCACGAAGCACCTAGCTCGTCGTATCCGTTTCATAAATTTCATCGTCTGAAGCTCCTTACGACTCTTCTCAGTCGGTGCAACTCTGCGTGAGCGTTGAATTAGCTCTACTCTAGTCGCTTGGAGGCAACTCTCTCTTGTTTCAGATTCTTAGGCGAGACGAATCTGATGGCGAAAGCAGTTAGACGTCCGCGACATCCGTTACCGTGGAGAAGCGACGCTGGCAGTTTCCACCTGTCTCAATGATCCAGCCTGTACGTCTGGAAGTGAAAACCTGACCGGAGCTGTAAAGTAGCGTGGTTGCAGTCGGCTTTCACTTTGGAAAGAATAGAGGAACGAACATTTTCGACGGACGACGATTAACGGACGTCGAGACGGACGACGATTGACGGATGGCGTTTGACCTGTGACGGACGACCGTGACGGACGACGATTGATGGACGACGAGTGACGGACTACCTGTGACGGACGAGGATTGACGGGCGACGATTGACGAGTGACGGTCGATGAGTGACGGACGACGAAAAGGACGATTATTGACGGCAACGATTGACGGACGACCTTTCACGGTCGACGATTGACGATTGACTGACGACGAGACGGTCGACGATTGATGGCCACGATTGACGGACGACGAGTGACGGACGACGATCCACGGACGACTATTGACGAGTGAGGACGACCTGAGACGAACGCCGGTTGACGGGCGACGATTGACGGGTGTCTGACGAGAAATGACGGACGCCGGTTGACGGACGACGATTGGAGTGACTGACGAGAAGTGACGGACGAAAAAATGGGACGACGATTGACCAGTGACGGACGACACTTGCCGGACGACGATTAACGAGTGACGGACGTCTATTGACGGTTGACGATTGACGAGTGACGGACGACCTATGACGGACGCAGGGACGACGATTGACGAGTGACTGACGGGAAATGACGGACGACGAATCGGACGAGAATTGACGGGCCACGATTGACGGGCGCAAATGATGAACGCCGATTGAGGGACGACGATTGAAAAGTGACGGACGTCGAGACGGACGACGATTGACGGATGGCGTTTGACCTGTGACGGACGACCGTGACGGACGACGATTGATGGACGGCGAGTGACGGACAACCTGTGACGGACGAGGATTGACGGACGAGGATTGACGAGTGACGGTCGATCAGTGACGGACGACGAAAAGAACGTTTATTGACGGCAACGATTGACGGAGGGACCGACGTCGCCGAGTAAGAGGGTGCGAGGCCGTCGTCGGTGTTGACCTGACGTGGGGGGCGAAAGTAGAGCGGATAGCGGCGATCGGCGACTGTCCGACAGTGAGCTGTGAATGTCGACCGGCTAGTGACGAACAGTGAGCGACTAGTAACGTGCGCGGAAATCGGCGAGCGGCTCTCGAACCACGAGCAACCATGCGGATGATGGCGACCAACCGTGTACGACGTTCCGCGTGCGACGCGGCGCGTGATGTACCGCGTGCGACGCGGCGACGATGTACCGCGTGAGACATTGTGCGGATGCTGGAGACGAACCGCGTGCGACGTTCCTCATGCGACGTTGTGCGTATGCTGGGGGCATGCCGCATGCGACGATGTGCGACGAACGGCATGCGACGAACCGCGTGGATGCTGGGGACGAGCTGCGTGCGACCGTGTGCGGACGACGGCGACCAACAGCGCGACACTGTGCGGATGCTGGTGACAAACCGGATGCGATGATGTGCCAATGATCATACCACGTCCCAGAAGCAGCTTCAACACTTCTTCTGTGGCTAAGTCTCCTCACCTTTCTCTTCGCTGTCTTGTTCCGTCTCTTTCACTGTTGCCAAACTTCACCCCCTCACTTCCCCTCCAAACTTGCTGGGCGCATGGTGGTGGTGGTCCGTGGTGCTATGGCAGCAGAGCTCATGTAGAGTGCAGTGTAGTGGCAGCGGTGGGAGAGATGAGTGGGAGGGGGAGTGCATTCATGCCATGCGCGCGTCCCTCTCTACCCCAGTCCCCCCTCGCTGGCTCAGCTCGCTGCTCTAGTGCCGTGGGCCACTGTCGCCATGCGCCTTCCCCCTCCCACCACGTCCCACACCACTCGATTGCGCTGTGCACGCTGAAATTCCAATTTATGCCGTTTTATTTTTGCCTGTTTCCTGCATTCATTTTTGCCGTGACTTGCTTGTTCCTTTCTTGTTCGCCATCTGTCGATTCACTCTCAGTTTGTCGCTATGTGCTCTCTCTTTCTTGTTGTTCCTCATGCAGGACAGCAGTGGGATGACGCACAACAGCGGCTGCTGCCCGCCCTGCTGATTACAGCTCACTCAACGGGAGCGCATGCAGCTTCGACCGCTGCTGAGTAATCTCCGAACGCTGTGCTGCTGCTTCTGGGAGGGCTGCTGCTGAGAGTGCCGCTGATGATGGGAGTCACTCTGCTGCTGGCAACAACTGCTGCTGCTTCCGTCGCTCAACCCGTCGTACCGCTGCTAAGTCCCGTCCTCATAACCCCTCTATTCACCCCCTTGCCATCCTTATCGCTTTCTGTCTTTGGTTCATTTTCTTGTCGCTTTGCTTTCTCGGCGCGTGCTCGAAATCAAAACGTCAGTTCCGCATGGCGATGGTAGCACATGGCACCGGGGCGGCTTGAGCTCACACTAGACTAGAGTTGTAGGGGGCTAGAATAGAATGCACTCATACACATGCTCGCGTCTCTCTCTTACCCCAGTCCACCCTCGCATGCTAGCTCGCTGCCCCAGTGCCTTGTGCTACCATTGCCTTTCGTGTTGTTCAGCTTGCTTGCTTTTCTTCTGCATTTTTCGCTAAAGGAATTCTCGTTTTCATAACTGTTTCTGCCTTCCTTTCAATGCTTGCTCCTACTGGACCAGATTCTTTATTCCCTTCTTCTCTGCCTTCTCTCTCCAACCCATTTCCTTGTCCCAGGGTCAGAGCGGAGGGAGGGCAGTGGGATGACGCACGGCCTGAGTCCTGCATGCCCTGCTGACCACGCCACTCCCTCACGGCGCTGCTGCTGCTGGGAGGGCTGCTGCTGGGAGTGCCGTTGATGATGGGAGTCACTCTGCTGCTGGCAACAACTGCTGCTGCTTCCGTCGCTCAACCCGTCGTACCGCTGCTAAGTCCCGTCCTCATAACCCCTCTATTCACCCCCTTGCCATCCTTATCGCTTTCTGTCTTTGGTTCATTTTCTTGTCGCTTTGCTTTCTCGGCGCGTGCTCGAAATCAAAACGTCAGTTCCGCATGGCGATGGTAGCACATGGCACCGGGGCGGCTTGAGCTCACACTA